CACCGATACCAGCTAACGGATCAGAACCACAGGCCCCGCCCCCAAAACACCAGCTGATTCATCCAATCATCCGTCAAACCTGCTGGAAGCTCCGCCCCCTTTCAGGTTCATCATCTCTCCATGTTTTCATGAAACCAGTACTGCTAGAAAAACCTTCAGGACTCAGATAATCAGAGTGGCTCTGCCAGCGGTGGGCGGAGCCTAGCATTGGGACGCAGCAGCAGCATCAGGATCAGCAGCATCAGGATCAGCAGCAGCAGCATCAGGATCAGCAGCAGCAGCAGCAGCAGCATCAGGATCAGCAGCAGCAGCAGCAGCAGCAGCAGCATCAGGATCAGCAGCAGCAGCAGCAGCAGCAGCTGCAGCAGCAGCCATGTTGGATCCATCAGAGGACGCGGCTCTACTCACGCGTTGCAGTACGGCTTCTTGTCGTAGCCTTTGTAGTTCTTCATGTTCAGGGTCATCTTGCAGACTTCGCAGTGGAAACATCCTTTATGCCAGTTCTGATGGAAAAACACAAACAGCCACATTATGTCTGATTATTGATCAGCTCTGATCTGAAATCCTCCTGAACCAAAACCAGACGAGTCCAGCAGTCAGATCCAGTCTGTCTGAGTCAGACTTCCTCCTGATAACTTCAAGTCCTGCTGACCAACATTTTCAGAAGGTCAGACATGATTTGTTCACATTTATTTAGTTAATTGGATGAAAAATATCTAATTTATGTCAGTGTGACAGAAACAGAATCTCTGGATCTTTAATGATGTTTTTACTTTGTCTCAGTAGAAACAGTGATATCTGGATACTCAGTGTTTTGTTCTACACTTTTCTAGTTTCTCACTATTTTCTAGAACAAACAAGATCCTGAAATGTTTCAAAGTGTCAGGAAAAATTCCAACTTCTTGGATCTCTGCCGACGTCCTTCAGCTTCAGCCGCTCATCAATCTGCGTCTGCAAGAGGCCGACAGCTGCTAGTGTCTGTGATTTCTGGTGTTTTTAAAGTGTGGCCATCAGTGTACATGTAGTTTGTGCAAACAGGAGTTCCTGGATATAAATAGATTTGCTCAGATTGGACCAGCAGCGGCTGCTCAGTCAGCAGCATTCAGCTCAGATCTTCCTCCATCTGCTCCGGATCAGGATTATTCAAATCCTTAGAAAGTGACTCGATTCTGTGTTAGAGATGTCAACACAGCTTTGACTGCTGGGTTCAGCTGACAGGCAGAGACAGAAAGTGATCAGAAAGCAAAGAAGAAATTCTTTCATCTGATTATTTCTTGTGTTTCTCTTCTGGATGTTTCTCTCCAAGCAGCCAAAGTTTCTGGAAACTTTTAAAGTCTCTTGATCCAAACGTCTCCAGACTCCGGAACATCTCCTCCAGGTTCTGCTCATTTTAAACCTCACTGCTCCTGTTTCCTGCTCCAAGCTCTGCTCTGCACATTATCCTGCTGATACAATCATCTTCAAAAGCATAGAAACTCTCCCAATGCGGGTCAGAACCTCCAGGCATCAGCAGACGCCAGAACTTGTCAGGTCGGACTTGGACATGTCTCTGCTTCTTCCAGTCATCAGTCGTCTGACTTCTCAGGGATTCAGCCTGGAGCAGCAGGGAAACCCAGACATCTGACACTGTGACGGGATTCCTCTGCTTCTCGCGGTCCGGTCCGAGAGCCAGACGGGCCTGCAGAAAGTTCTGGGTCTGTCGGAGTCTGAAGGAGTCTCTGTGAGCCACTCTTCTTCTGGTGTCAGCTTCAGCAGGTGATAAAATCAGCCCCCAGTGAACATTAATGGAACTGCAGCTGCTGCGCCATCACATTTCTCCTCCCACATAAATCTCCCTTCAGCTGGAAATCACTCAGAGTGCCGAGCATTTTAATAAACGGACAGATGAATTGTTTTCTGCTGGGATTTTGAAGATGATCTGATGTGGAGCTTTTCTGACAGAAGGATCTCCATTCTTTCCTCACTTTGACTCTCACCTGGTTCTCACCAGCCTCCTCTTTCAATCTCTGCTTCTAACAATCAGAAAAGATTCATCTCCTCATTTCAGACCCTCCAAAACGCTCAGCCCAGTGACTCCATGTAGAAGCACTTCAGACTGGTTTGCTGTGCTGGTCCCAGTTGGGACCAGGAGATGTTTGTTGGTTTGAGGATGGCAGGTGGGAGGAATGGTTCTGAGCGGCGCCTACATGCTGCTGTGTCATCTGACCCTCAGAACAGACAGAGAACACATGAAGCTGCTGGAGATCAATTCATAATTTAACATTGTTATGCAAGAAGCTGCAGGAAACACTGTAAAAACTCATCCAGTCTGTGATGTTGGTAGTTTCTGTAGATATGATAATAAATCAATTACAAATGAATATCATTGTTCTTTATCACATATAAAAACTGATTTAAATGCAAAGTGATAAATGTGAACATTATTGTATCTTTTCAATGATGGATAAATAATGGATGTATATTTTGGGAATTCTTTAAAAACCTGAGAGAAATAAACAGAAATATTTTAATTTGAAAAACAAAAATGCCAAATTATCACGTTTTACATCCACAAATACCGAGTTTGACAGTTTATTCATTTACTTTTTCCATATATTCATTTACATTTTATTCATTTAAGAAATTTGCTTTCAGACTCCAACATTTTCTTTAAGTGAAAAAGTATCAATCTATCATATTATTGATTAAATTCTCCCTTCTGCTATAGGAATGAACTTTTAACGCTCTATAATGTGATGGTTTCCAGCCTGTCTGCTGCTGCAGCCTCTTCCCACCTTGTCCAGGCAGATGACTTTCTCCGTGGGATAGACAATCTTCCCGCAGCGCGCGCACGGCGGGTTCATCCTCCGGTTCTCCTCCGGTCCTCCTCTGGACTCCGGCGGAGAAAAGTCCGTTGGTTCCGCGGAGACGCAGAGAGAAAAGCCGCTCCGGCTGCAGTTGAACCGTTTTTAAAGAACCAGCCGCTGAGACAGAGGAGAGGAAGTGTGGCTGTTTTCTGTGAGCGGAGCTCCGGCTGGATGCTGCTCACACTGAGCTCAGGAGTCAAGCTGGAGACAAAGGACGGAAGGAAGGAAGCTGGAACCTGGCCTTTCAAAATAAGGGCGGAATTAAAGCCATTAAATTGAAGGAGCTAAAACAACAAATTTACCAATGAATAAGTTGAATTAATACTTTTATTGTAAAATCAAATGATGTATCAAATCACAAATAAAAATACTTTTATTGATTTACTTACAGCTCATCAGTTTATTGTGTTCCATTTAACCCAGTAGGAGTGAAACCAGTAAACCTTTGGGCAAAAACCTCCCAATGCATGACTTTGTTTCTATGTTTGTTATGACGTGAAGCACTTTGAGATGCCAGGCTGCTGCTGAAATGTGCTGTACAAATAACATTTGATTGATTGATTGATTGATTGATTGATTGATTGATTGATTGATTGATTGATTGATTGATAAAATGGCATTTCTCAGTCAGAGATTGGATTGGATGATTTTAAAGAATTGGATTGGAAATGACATGGGACTGATTTGGTCTTTTAAAAGTAAACTGATTGTCAGAATTATTACATGTTATATATGAATATATAAACTGTAATCTCTGCTATATTATCAGAGTAAATAAAGGTTTCTGACTCAAACTTTCTCTCTCTGTAACATCAGCTGTTGCTTTTTCCACCTTCGTGTCTCCAGGCACTGCAGGAACCAAACATGTGATACATTTCCTCTTTGGTCACTAGATGGCGCTGTAGGCCATGAATCTGAGTCAGGGGGCAACAGGTAGCAGGCAGGTGTTGAACTCAGAAGAGCATCCAAGTTTATTGAGTGCAGTGAAATCATTGTAATTTATGTTTCTAAAGGAAATACCTTCACAAGTCTAATGCAGAGATCTGTAGCTCACAGAGCCGTTGATTGGAAACAAGAAACTAAAAAAAAAAACAAGTTTTCAAACTGCTTTGAGTAAATAATTAAAAATGTAGATTTTTCCAGCTGCATCCAAAAATTTAATAGTGTGAGGAGGAGAGAGGATCACCAGATGTCATGGATTGTGGTGGAGGTGGTCAGGCAGAACACAGCAGACCCAGGTTACAGAAAATATCCAAAACGGTTTAATGGTACAAAAACACAATCCAAAGTCCAAAATCCTGGCAGCACAGCTGAGCAGAAGACAAAGGCTCAACACTGGGAGTAACAGGTAAGCGGATGGACAGCCTGACAGAGAGATATTGAACATCCAACAGAGACATCGGTGACTTAAATACACAGAAGGTAATCAGGGAACGAGACACACCTGAGAACAATCACCTGAGGACAGGACAGCATGGAGACTCAAAGGACATATTGCACAGGTCCCCAACGTGGGTCCCCAGAAACAAACAAGCCTCTGACAGAATAAATGACAAGAGCCGATTATTTCTGAACTGTCAGAAATCAAGTTTCCAGCGGTGAAGAGAATCCATCAGGCTCTGAGGATGAATGAGTGAACTTTGGCTTTAGGGACGAATCAATGCTGGGACATTTCAACACATCATTGTGGAGAAACAAGCAGCACATTTTCCACAGTCACTAAACGATGAGGGACTCATCAATGTTAGATTACAATAAACTTCCTGTTTATCATGAAATATTAGAGAAAATCTCCCAGCCTGTCACTGGTTTATGTTTTATGCCTGAGTAGTTAATGTTTTACAGAATATGAAAGAATGAATTTCTCATATATACAGAATAAACAGGAAACTAAACTATAAGAATTTATCAACAAAATACTTCAAACTTTCAGTTAAAATACTTCAAATGATATAATCAGGCTGGAAACATTCAACTAAACTGCTGAGTAAAATGAAAAGATAAACAGAATACTAAAAAATTAAATAAGAATAAAAACAGTAAAATAATTCAGTGACATTTGTTCTGAATAAATAGCAGAACAAATATATTACACATATAATAATGTGTGATTATAAATATACTTTGTTAGCTAACTTAGCTTCAATGCTAATTAAGAACAACAACCAGTTTACAATTCAAAACAAACTCATGTAATAAAATAATCTTTGAAAAATCATTTGCTTGGATTAGTTTGGATAATTAATTCTTAATAGATAGTTTTTAGATAGATTAATATAATGTGAACAAACTTCTACTGACTGACTACCAAAATGGCGGCTTGAAGAACAGACAGGCCTGATGATGTCACATCTGGGATTAGAGGAAGCAAAATTATTCATCGATCTTTCAAAGTACCATGAATACACATATTAATATTTGTATGGCAACCAGAATGCTAAAGCTACTGCCTTAGCATTAGCATATCCTTAGCACTAGCATTAGCAGCTGAGTTCTGACCTTATGTACTTTGTTTAACTGACTTTGTTGTAAATTGGTGCTACATCAATAAAGTAAACAAAACAGGTTGAAAACATCTAATTATCCAACAACTGTCTGTTATAAACAATAAAAAACATCAAATATTCCAACACAGAAACACAGGATTTCACAATAAGAGTCCAATTTAAGATAAATGTTTTGTCCATAATCAATGATTTTGATGCTCAGTTTGTTTCTAACAGGTCTTTGAGTTTATGGCTCCTTATTTTCCCTTCAGTTTATGATTTACTGGTTTGGTTCCACTTTCTCACAGATCAGCCCCACATGTCTGCAGAGAAACGGGTCGAGCTCACAGAGGAACCGGATCATCTCAGAACCGGCAGCATCTCCTTTCCTCCTCACCGTGTCGATCAGAACTCGAGCTTTGTCTCCCCTGATCTTCTCCGCCTCCACCGCCTCCCTCTCTGAGTCACTCAGGACCTTTTTCTCCAGCAGTTTGTCCAGCAGACTCTGCAGAACCGGTTCTGAGATCCCATCGATGATTCTGGTCCGGGTTTCCTTCAGCTGTTGGTCAGAAGGGAGACCCGGTTTCAGTCTGTGAGTCACGAGACAAACACGACTCTCCCAAACGCAGCAGGAGGTTTTCGCCTGCTTCACACTCAGCTTGATGTCTCCTATGATGCTGTTTAAAATCACCTGGATGGAGGTGAAGTAGCTGTTGTAGGATTCTGGGTCAAATTCTGCTTCTGCGGGCTGAACCAGAACCGATTCTCCTGCAGGGCTGGTGGACAGAGAGTAGGTCTCCTTCGGATGCAGTTTGCAGTTTGGAGGAGCATCTATGAACGTCTCCGGCCCAAATAATTTCTTCCTGGTCCGTTTCAATTCCCGGATCACAACATTCGCTGGAAGAAGCAACAGATTGAGGAAGGAAGTGACGCCTGGATCAGCTGCAGGTCTGTAGAACAGCAGAACCAAGGCTCGGACCGGGTCAGCAGGAGAATCCTCATCCTTGACGTTCCCAAAAGCAGAAAACCCTGAGATGCTGATAATGATGTGAGTCTCTGTGATCCTCTCAGGCCTGATGAACTCCACGCCTCCGTCATGGAGATGAGCGACTGACAGGAAGTGACATGGTCCAGTGGAGCGGACCTCACAGTGAGGGAGATGAAGCTGAGCCACAGACTGCTGCAGGCAGCTGATGTCAAACAGAGGCCCTGCAGGCTTCTTGCCATGTGGGCTCAGTAATGTCCTGTTCCAGGGAACAACCCTGTAAAACACGTCTCCTCCTCCCTTCATGGCAAACACCAGGCCGCTCACTCTGCACTGGTACAGGCCTGGACCGGAGCACTGGAACCGGTAGGTTTCATCATCTGGATCTCCACAGAAACCAGGAGTAAACTCCTCAAAGCTGCTTTGGAGCTTCATGCTGGGTAAACTAGCAGCTCGGGGTAAGATACTGACGTCTAGAGGAGGATCCTGATGAATCAGAGGACAGAGGACAGAAGGAGACGAGTCGCTGCGGTCTCTTCTTCTCAAACCAGATGCTGAAGGGAGGAGAAGGTCAGCAGAGGCTGATCTGTTTGGGACGGAGTCGCTCACATGTCCAACCGACTCCATTATTTCATCTTGGTTTCCTGCTGTATCTTGTCTGCTGTATTTTAAGCACAGCGGTTCTAGCAGGTCAAAAGGTTCTGGAGGCCTTTCTGTGGAAACGTTCTCACTCTGTGGAACGAAGGCGGGGATATAAGAAGCCCAAGGTATCTGTCCGTAATGTCCCACATACAGACTGTGTGATTCATCTTGATGAGAAAGAGAGAAGTCGAGGTTCGCTGAAGACGTATCTGCAGTGGATGCAGAGGTTACAGTTGGTGACGATACGTTGGGGGGTAAAGAGAGAGCAGGTTGGATCAGGGGTCGGAGGGTCGGGAGGGGTGGGAAGATTGGGAGGGTTCGTTCAGCTCTCAACTGTTCAATTGAACAACCTGCTTGAGGTTCTTCAGTTAATGAACAAAATCTTCCTTGGTTCGTGGTTTCAGTCTCTGACAGCATGCTGGCTATTACAAATGGAAATGACATTTGATGTGGAGGTCTTACTGGATTGGACTCATCATATAATGGCTCTTCTAATATTGACCCGATAGCTGGCATCGGGAATTCATCAGATTCCCAATCAAAAGACAGGTCTGAGGATTCAGCCCTCCTTCTTTCCATGGGACTGCAGGTCTCAGATGTGTCCAACAATTCAAAACCAGCTGAACTTGTTCCAACTTCATCGTCGTCTCCATGTTCAGATGTTTCTTCTTCCTTCACTGAATCTGGTGAAGTTCTTTCAACTGAACTTTTTCTTCTTCGTTTCATCTTAACCTGGATTTAGTGACTCCTTCCTGAAACCTGGTGAGATTCTGGTCCTTTGTTTTCTTGTTTAGGCCTCAGATTTTGTCCATCCTAAAATATCAAAAGCAGAAATAATGATGAGGGAGAAAAAAAACTTGTTTTAAAACATTTAAATGTAAAACAAGGAGGAGAAAAAACTCCAGCAAGGAGAGCTTCAGAGGTTTATCGAAGCATAAAATAAAGTAATTGTAGTTAAAATGTTTTTTTTTCTTCTGTTAAATGTTTTAGTTAAAGCAGTGAGAAAATTATCAGCATCATTCACTGAACATGAACTTTGCAGAAACACCAGCAGGAGGTTGGAAAACGACTCTCACAAAAACCAAAACCAGCATGAATGGAGCTCTAGTGACGTAGTGAGGACCCGGATCTTAAAGAGACAGGAGGAAAACAGCCGCATGCGCTCAGAGATCGTCTCCACACTGCGATGCTTCACTTCACTGTCTAATGATGACATAAATAAACTGTAAATTCATCCTGGATAATAAATCTCACACAGTTTTCTTCTAATTATGTATCAAAAATGTTTTATAGCTTTTGTTGACGTTTTCTTCCCGGAGCGTCACTTTGCAGACGGTCCCTAACCGGAAACGAGACTCTCGTTTTTACATCCAGTTTTTAAATTTAAATTTAATTAAAATATTTACTTTAAATTTTAAAATAAATATTTTATTCATTTGACTCGTTCATGTTCTGAGGTTGAAATGAGAGAAATGAGAGAAATGAGAGTCTCAACGAGACGAATCTGTCCAACAGAACCGAACCTTTAACTTCCTGGTTTGTTCTGAACGGAAAAAAGTCCATTTAAAATGTCCGGCCTCCTTTTACTGGACCAGAACCGAACCAGAACCAGGACCAGAAACGGACTGGTACCGACAGAACCGGACCAGAACCGGGACCAGAACCAGGACCGGTACCGACAGAACCGGACCGGCCTGTCAGTGGAGTTGATGATAATCAGACTCACCGTTATAACAGAGACTCACATCCAGATCCTCCTCCATCAACTCTTGTTTTCATTTCTCCTCCCTTTCACTGTTTTTCTCTTTTCTTCCGTTTCCTTTCTCACTTTTTCAGATTAAAATTCTCATTTCTCTTTAACAAATATCAATCAAGTCTTCATCTTAAATTGAAAAGCAAAATAATTTAAAGGAACATTTTATTTTTCATCTTTACTGCTGTGAGGCCTTTTAAAATTCTCCTTGAAACTTTTTCTTTCTGTTTTTCAGTAAAACTCCAAGATGTTCTCATGTTGGTGTTTAAAGCTGATTCTGACGGAACAGAACCAGAACCGGACCAGAACCAGAACCGAACCAGAACCAGAACCTGCAGGTCTGATCTGACTCAGAATTCATTGTTTTACTTTATTTAAAGCCACAACAAGTTTAACTGGTTATAATGGAGATAATTTAGTGTGAAAATATAATTTCTTTGGTTGGATGTGATGAAAAGCTTCTCCATCCCTTTGACCTCTAAACTCATCAAAGGTCGAGACCCAGGAAGGAAACTGGTTGATCCTCATTCTGGACCTGATCCGACCCGAAGCCGTTCGGATCAGATCTGCTGTTTCTCACATTCAGAAACTCAGAAACGCTGAAGAAACGACCGGAACTGAAAACTTTTCTGTAAAGGGAAGAGATGGAGCATTTCTTTATTAAATATTGTTTTTAAACAAATAGCCATAAAACTATGTATAAATTGTCCCTTGTGGCCCTGATATAACTGATCCTAAATGTTTCACCTGCAGCTCCAGACTCACCTGACTGACTGCAAGTTAAACATTAACAGGCTTTTAATCCACAGCATGTTTTCCTAACATTGAGTGGAATATTCTGCATGACTGTAAATAACAATACATTTATGGCATTTAAATTTATTTAAATGAGATGTGATGACATCACATATTTTAATTGTGAACAAAGACCTCATTATGCAAATTTATGCTAAAAACTTTCTAAACTTTGAAAGATACTTTTGGAGAATTAAAAAAAACTGGGAAATAAATTTCTAACTACTTTAATCAAGACTAATTTTAAAACATCTAAAAACTAAGAAAGGTCAAAGTTCATCTGCTAAGTGAGATAAAGGCAGTTAGTTAATAAAAGTTCACAGAAACTGTCAGCTCCAGTTTTATTTCTGCACAATCATCAAAATGACAGAATATATAAAAACACTGCTGATGTCGTCCATGTTGGAAAAGAGCCTCCACTGGTCTAGTCAAATCATGAATGACCACAAACTATAAAATGTGTTTATAATATATCTGAGTGACACAATGTGAATGGTTTGGCGTTATAATGTGGTTATTTCTATATAAAGACAGGAGAAGCTCTAAATCTGTACATATTACTCAATAAGTCTGATATTTCATGTCTCAATGACAGATTTTTAATTTTAGTCAGTTGATGAAAAACTACTTAGAAAAATCCAAACTCACATTTATATGGACAGATGAAAGAAAATGAAGGTCAACTTATGAAATATTAATCTGAACTGTGAAATCTGCAGAAATAATTTAATCTGAGGTTCAATAATGTTAACAGATCCAGGGGAAAAAAATCATTTTTAGATTTATTTGAACATTTCTGCCCCTGCAGAACACGGTGAACAGGTCAGAGGTCAGCAAACCTCATTGTCCAACAATGAGCCGTCTCTTCATTTCTGTGATTAATTATATTTTATGCTCACAAGACGTTACAGTCAGTGCTGATCATTAATCGTTCCTCTATTGTCTGTCTGCTATAAAAATGAAAGTAAATCTCGTCTTTGGATTCGTAATAAAGACGTAAAATCAGCTGCTGAACCTCCTGGTCAATAAAGTCCATCAGAGATTCTTCCTCACATCAGACCCAGATGTTCAGAGAGAAACGGGTCGAGCTCACAGAGGAACCGGATCATCTCAGAACCGGCAGCATCTCCTTTCCTCCTCACCGTGTCGATCAGAACTCGAGCTTTGTCTCCCCTGATCTTCTCCGCCTCCACCGCCTCCCTCTCTGAGTCACTCAGGACCTTTTTCTCCAGCAGTTTGTCCAGCAGACTCTGCAGAACCGGTCCTGATACTGAATCCTTGAAGTTGATCCTTATCTCCATCAGTTGCTCCTTTGGACTGCGGTTCTGTCGAGTCGGCCCACAGGATCTTCTGACTCCGGCAGCAGAAAGACAAACCCGTCTGTCCCAGACGCTGCAGGAGCTGCTGTCCGCCAGAGACAGTCTGATGTGTTTCATCATTTCCTCATAAACCACCTGGAACGTTGAGACGTAGTTTTCATAGGATTCTGCATCAAACTCGGCTTCTTTGGGCTGAACCAGAACCGAGTCGCCACCAGGAGAGACAGACAGAGAGTAAACCTGATTCGGCTGCAGTTTGCAGTCTGGAGGCGTCTCCAGGAATCTTTCATTCTCGTCTAATTTCCTCCTGAAACGCAGCACATTGTTGAGAACAACGTTCTTTGGCAGCATCAACACATTAATCTCGTGTTCTGACTCTGGATCAGCTGCAGGTCTGTAGAACAGCAGAACCAAGGCTCGGACCGGGTCAGCAGGAGAATCCTCATCCTTGACGTTCCCAAAAGCAGAAAACCCTGAGATGCTGATGATGATGTGAGTCTCTGTGATCCTCTCAGGCCTGATGAACTCCACGCCTCCGTCATGGAGATGAGCGACTGACAGGAAGTGACATGGTCCAGTGGAGCGGACCTCACAGTGAGGGAGATGAAGCTGAGCCACAGACTGCTGCAGGCAGCTGATGTCAAACAGAGGTCCTGCAGGCTTCTTGCCATGTGGGCTCAGTAATGTCCTGTTCCAGGGAACAACCCTGTAAAACACGTCTCCTCCTCCCTTCATGGCAAACACCAGGCCGCTCACTCTGCACTGGTACAGGCCTGGACCGGAGCACTGGAACCGGTAGGTTTCATCATCTGGATCTCCACAGAAACCAGGAGTAAACTCCTCAAAGCTGCTTTGGAGCTTCATGCTGGGTAAACTAGCAGCTCGGGGTAAGATACTGACGTCTAGAGGAGGATCCTGATGAATCAGAGGACAGAGGACAGAAGGAGACGAGTCGCTGCGGTCTCTTCTTCTCAAACCAGATGCTGAAGGGAGGAGAAGGTCAGCAGAGGCTGATCTGTTTGGGACGGAGTCGCTCACATGTCCAACCGACTCCATTATTTCATCTTGGTTTCCTGCTGTATCTTGTCTGCTGTATTTTAAGCACGGCGGTTCTAGCAGGTCAAAAGGTTCTGGAGGCCTTTCTGTGGAAACGTTCTCACTCTGTGGAACAAAGGCGGGGATATAAGAAGCCCAAGGTATCTGTCCGTAATGTCCCATATACAGACTGTGTGATTCATCTTGATGAGAAAGAGAGAAGTCGAGGTTCGCTGAAGACGTATCTGCAGTGGATGCAGAGGTTACAGTTGGTGACGATACGTTGGGGGGTAAAGAGAGAGCAGGTTGGATCAGGGGTCGGAGGGTTGGGAGGGGTGGGAGGGTCCGTGCAGCTCCTGATGCAGATACTTTAGTTAATGAACAAAACCTTCCTTGGTTCGTGGTTTCAGCAGAGGAAGTAGATGTGAGCGAAGAGTTGAGGCTGCTCTTGGAAAAATCCAAAGGACAAAATAAAGAAGCAGGCCTGACAAAGTTCCCAGTCTCAAAGGGAGACTGGGAAGAATATGAACTACTGCCTCCTTCTTCTCTATTTGTTGAAGAAACAGACCCGACTGACTCGGTTTCAGGCTGTCTTGGTGTTCCCTTATTGGTTTCTGTTATTTCCTCAGTTTCACTTTGAAGTATTGAGCCTGGAAGTGGAGCTCGAGGTGGACATATTCTTAACCTTAACCGTTCAGATGACATCTTTGCTATGTGATCAGCAGATCCAGATCCATACAGATGATCTGGTCTTTTTGAAACTTTGAAAAACAAAGTCTCCTTCTCCTGGCAGTTTTTCCATATAACATTGGGTTAGCATCTGGTCTACTGACGTCTAAAGTAGGATCCTGACTCAATGAGGGACAACTCTGAGACAAACAGGAAGAGGATTTTGTCCTCTGACTTAACTCAAGGTTTTGTAGCTGTTCATGAAGGACGGCGGTCAGAGTTTCAGCAGGTTTGTTGTTTTCTGATCTGATCTGAGGTTCAGTTCCATCAGTTTGTTCAGCAGCTGGTTTGATTTCCTCAAACTCAATGTCTGATGAGGATCTGCTGCTGTTGATCTCAGCAAATGAATCTGCAGCGCTGTCACTGATTTCATCAACATGCAATTGGATAACGGAACAGAGCGATTCAAAGTTTCTTCAGATCCAAGTCCAGACAGATGATCTGGTTTCTTTTGAACCATTCCACAATAAGATGTCATTTTCCTCTGAGTTCTTCCATAAAACAATGTTTTAACATCTGGTTTTCCTCGAATCATTCCAGAAAAACATCTCGGTTTCCTTTGAGTTTTTTGTTTGTTGATTGTTCAGGAAAATCTGCATCCAAAATCCGGTTTATTTTTGACTGAGAAGATGATGCTCCAAGAAAACTCCGTCCTTCAGGAAGTGAGTCATAACTTGTATCATTATAGGTTCCAGTCCTGGGTTCTCCTGGTTCTGATGCCGTTTTGCAGCAACAGAACGAGGAGAACCTGTTTCCACATTTGTCTTTGGTTTTAGGCATTTCTGTTTTAATAAGTGAATCCTGATTAATACGAGTTTCTTCTTGGAATTACTTTTATGATGATTCTCTTATCTTCTTTCTGGCTCCTCTGTTAATGGGCCCTGGAAAATCAAAAGAGAAAGAAACATAAATCTTTGTACAAATTGATATTTTCATTATGTCATTTCCACATCTAGATTGTTGAAAGACAAAATATTATAAAATGAAATCTAATTGTAAGTTTACTGTGTGAGTTATTGTTTGTTTATGTAGAGGAACAGATGTGGAAATCCATCTGAGGGATTTTGATGAATTGAATTTTCTCTCCAGAAATCAAAAATATATAACCATCTGAAGTTCAAAACTTCTCACATCAACAATAATATTTTCCTCAACGTTAAACAAAAAGGAAAAATAATAAAGTAATTATTCTTCAGGGGGGGTCAAAGGTCAGGTAAATCAAATTAGATGAAGAAACTGCTGCTTTCTACCTGAATATGATTTATTTGAGCAAATAATAAACACTTTTACTAACACAAAAATTCATTTGAATTAAAAAACCAGACAGAAAATGTTTAAAGACCTTATTAGACACCATTTACAAAGGTATTACATTTTATTTTTGGGGAAATTGCTACAACAAAAAATAAGATTTTTGTTTTTTATTTGTATTTATCAGAAAGCGAACAGAAGAGCAAACAGGAAGAGTGAACAGGAAGGAAGTTCAAAAACTTTATCAACTCTGTGCTCCAGATCTGTAACACCTGCACAGAGGAGCTCAGGCAGAAAATATGAGGTTTAAACATTAAATCTGTGTCAACAGCTGACACCAAATCAAACCCAGAACTGTAAAAAAACCAAACAATTTTTATCTCTGAACAAACTGCAGGCTAAATTCAACCCAAACTTTTCTGGATCGACTAGACGCCAGACAGCAGAGGCCTTCCTGCCTGAAAGACCTAAAAACTCTGGAGGGAAACAGAAATCATCAGGACTTCACCATGTTCTGCTGGAACCACAACAGGAACCAAACCAACAATCAGAAAAACCTAACAGGGATGAATGTTCCAAGATCTGAGTCAGCAAACCAAACTTAAGCTCCTGCTTATCCAACGTGGCATCAGAACAACATCAGAACGACATCAGAACGCATCAGAACAACATCAGAACGCATCAGAACGCATCAGAACGACATCAGAACAACATCAGAACGCATCAGAACGACATCAGAACGCATCAGAACAACATCAGAACGCATCAGAACGCATCAAAACGCATCAGAATGCATCAGAACGCATCAGAACGACATCAGAACGCATCAGAACAACATCAGAACGCATCAGAACGCATCAGAACGCATCAGAACGACATCAGAACGCATCAGAACGACATCAGAATGCATCAGAACGCATCAGAACGACATCAGAACGACATCAGAACACATCAGAATGGTGTCAGAATGGCGTCAGAACGCGTCAGAACGCGTCAGAACACATCAGAATGACATCAGAACGCATCAGAATGCATCATTACGCATCAGAACGCATCAGAACGCATCAGAACGCATCAGAACGACATCAGAACACATCAGAATGACATCAGAACGCATCAGAACGACATCAGAACGCATCAGAACAACATCAGAACGCATCAGAACGCATCAAAACGCATCAGAACGCATCAGAACGCATCAGAACGCATCAGAACGACATCAGAACGCATCAGAATGACATCAGAACGCATCAGAACGACATCAGAACGCATCAGAACAGCATCAGAACGCATCAGAACGCATCAGAACGCATCAGAACGACATCAGAACGCATCAGAATGACATTAGAACGCATCAGAACGACATCAGAACGCATCAGAACAACATCAGAACGCATCAGAACGCATCAGAACGACATCAGAACGCATCAGAACGACATCAGAACGCATCAGAACAGCATCAGAACAACATCAGAACGCATCAGAACGCATCAGAACGCATCAGAACGACTTCAGAACGCATCAGAACGACATCAGAATGCATCAGAACGCATCAGAACGACATCAGAACGACATCAGAACGACATCAGAACGACATCAGAACGACATTAGAACACATCAGAATGGTGTCAGAACGGTGTCAGAACGCATCAGAACGCGTCAGAACAACATCAGAACGCATCAGAACGACATCAGAATGGCATCAGAACGCATCAGAACGACATCAGAACGACATCAGAACGACATCAGAACACATCAGAATGGTGTCAGAACGCATCAGAACGCGTCAGAACGACATTAGAACACATCAGAACAACATCAGAATGCCCCTCTGACCCGCAAACACCACAAACTCAACTAGACAACAATATTAGAAGAGCAGCAGAAACTAAAAGCATTGTTAACTATTTAAAAAAAAACATTTGTTCAGAGCAATATAAGCATCAAATAAACCACAAAGTTGAGAACAAACGTTAGTGGCTGATGAACAGAGGAAGTAAACAGCAGGAACAAGCAGAACAACACGGAAACTAAAAGTGATAAAACAGAAGCTGAGGCTGACCAGCAACTTCCAACAAGATGGAGAATCTGATCTTTTCTTTGTCTGCTGTGATTGCCATTATCAACTTCTTCACCAAAGTGAAGCAAAACTTTCTGCCATTTTCTCCATCCAGTCTGTGTCGTGGTTTAGCTTGAGGATCCAACAGAGAATCGATCAACAGGAAAGTTTGAGAGAACAGAATGAAAACCAGAGCCACCGAACATAAACATACAGTTTCATATCTATACTCAGCATCCTCCTTCATTCATTTTGCTCCCCTATTTCTGTACCATTAGCATCTTCCTCTAAGGCGTTCCCACACCACAGCCTCCACCAATCCATAACTCCATCAATCCATAACTCATCAAGCCATAACTCCACCAATCCATGACTCCACCAATCCATAACTCACCAATCCATAACTCATCAATCCATAACTCATCAAGCCATAACTCCATCAATCCATAACTCCATCAATCCATAACTCACCAATCCATAACTCATCAATCCATAACTCCACCAATCCATAACTCATCAAGCCATAACTCCATCAATCCATAACTCACCAATCCATAACTCATCAATCCATAACTCCATCAATCCATAACTCACCAATCCATAACTCCATCAATCCATAACTCCATCAATCCATAACTCACCAATCCATAACTCCATCAATCCATAACTCCATCAATCCATAACTCCATCAATCCATAACTCATCAATATTCTCTTGGTGGATGTTTCTGATGCAGTTATCTGAGGGAAGGACCAGGATTTAATCTGGAAGTTGTGAGGATGAAGCCATTTGCTCTGCGGCCCTTCAGTGAGTCTCCTGACTGAAATCACCGTCTTCCTGTTTGTCTGAAACTTGAGTTGTTTCTCTATTCACCATCATGACAGCTTCCTGTTCATCACTCCGATATTTCACACAGACCAGGCTGCATATTTATGAAATCTTACCAGACTCCTCAACAAAAGACAGAAACTCTCTAAGGTTCTTGGTAACAGCTGGTCTCTGATCCACCCTGAAGGAAAACTTTACCTCCTTAATCCTCCTGATTTCTATAGAAACTGTGAGGTTCATTGGTGGATTTTAAATATCTTCCAGAGTTTTGGTGTTAGCTTATGAATAATGTTATTTTCATGTAAGACTTTTAAAAATCCTTCCTTTTAATACATTTTCAAGCAGTTATTATTTTAACAAGACCTGTGCTGCTTGTGGTCTATGCTCATGTTCTAACATGGAGAGTTAGTAGTTATCCTTTATGGTTCACAAAGGACCATAAAGGTCCTTTGTGAACCATAAAGGTTCATAAATGTTTTACTAACATGAATCATTTAACAACATTTGACTAAAACACAGAAAATGCAACTAATTTAACAGAATCTATGTAGATTGGAGTCAAATACATGAAGTTCGCTTCTTTAGTGAGTTATAAACATATTTATATGTGCAGTTACTTTAGGGCCACCAGAGGGCAGTAGTGTATTGGAAACATTTAACACTTAATCTTCCAGTAAAATCAAACTGAAGTAAAGTTTAGAATTTATTTTAAAACTTAAGTGACTCTTTATTTCTTTATTTAAAACTGAAACACTTTACCTCTGTGTTTTTGTTTCAATTAGTTGAATTTCTTTGATGTGGTTTTCTTGTTTTCTTTAGATTTCACTGTGAGCCAATCAGATTGGACCAGAAGCTACGTACTTCCTGTCTGCCTCCATTTCATGAGGAAGCTACTGAAGCTACAAACTGCATATCAGATTATTGTTACTGAAAACCAGGAATAAAAACTGCAGCTTTTCTATCTTCATGTCACATTTCTGTTATTTATATTATTCCAGTTTGATGAAGAGTGTTTTAAATATTTATAAATGAATGTGAATAATATCTACTGTAATGTCAAATAAGTGATAAATACATCACAATGTTTTCTGAGAAAACCAAATAAAGCTTCAAAGGTTTCATTCATTCATCAGATTACACAGAAAAAAATATTTAATATTTTTAAATGAGTTTAGTATTTCAAAGACAAATTAATTTATTTTCATTGAAAATTACAAAACATTTCAGAAAAAACTGAAGTTCTTCCTGATCTTTTAATGCCCAGCAGTAAATCAGCCTGAGGTTTTCCTGACAGCAGCTCCATACTGGACATACTGGTTTCCAGTTAAACCTGTTAGAACAAAGTCCACTGGAGTTTTCCAGTCACATAAACAGACGGTTCAGGTTGGGATTCATTTTGGGTTTGTTGTCAGATCAGAACATTTCTCCAGGTCTGACCTGCAGCCGGGCTGTTGAGATGTTAGGATTTCAAGACCAATTTAGCTTTAATTACAATGTTTTCTGAGCAAATTATGTTCAATTTAATAATCTTTGCACATTTTTACCATACAAGACATTAATAATAATATCTTTAAATATATAAGTAGTTTGGTTCAGCTTTGCCTCTCTAACAGAATCAGGACAATGTTTTATTTAGGACAATAAGTTTTATTTTCATTGAATCCCATAAAGTTATTGCAGTCCAGCAGCTGCTCACTTCCTCTGTTCTCTACTTTATGAGGAAGCTGCAGAAACTGCATATAAAACTCATTTAACTGAAACCATTTGAGACTGAACGAGAATAAAGACTCATTTTAACTTAAATCATATTTAACCTTTCCTTCAACCAGGTTTATATTTACATGTACAATAACCTTAGAAACATTTTATAACACTTTTTATATGAATCACTTCATTACATATCATCCCTCTTTGTTTATTTAATAAAGTCCTTCCCTTTACCGTTTACAGTATATAAAAATGATTTAAATTAAAATCCATTTTTGCTCCTCAGGGTTTGAATCAAACATCATGGCTGAATTTAGGAGAATCAAGTAAAACCAGTTTTACTTTGGTCTGAAGATCCAGTTCTGTCAGTTCATAAAATGGACCCGCCTTCCTGATCCACCAGGTGGTTCTGCTGGAGGCTTCAACCCGTTTAATGTAGGATGTTCCTGTCCACAGTCGCCACATGCTTGCTGCATAGTTTCCAGTTTGGATTGAGTTGAACGTTATAAAACATTTGTACTGTGGATTGCAGGACTGACCAGATCGGACAAAGTTTTTGTTCTCCTGGTTTTAAGTTGAGTTTTGCTTTGATTGAACCCTGAGACAGAAACATCTGGATCCACATCAGCCTGCTGGACCCTAAACATCCACTGAAACAAAAGTGTATAATAAATTCTTCCTAATCTCCTTGACTGTGTAATCCAGAGAATTAAGCCCATCTTTGCCCATATTAAAATACGTTTCTCTCAGTTTCTCGACTCTTACTGGGTTTGGATCGTTGTGAGAATCTCTATCATGTCTTATCATCTTGTACCTCCCAATGACGGAGTCTGGTCTGGATATGGACATCCCTCTGTAAGAGATCCGCTGCGACATGTCGTCGTCTTCACCCCCCCAGCCCCAGAAGGTGTTTGAAAAGCCGTTGACTTTAAGGAACTGCTGTTTGGACAACGCTGAGACTCCGAAGAGGGTGGTGTAGGGCAGGACGAACTTGAATGTGTCCACAGCGACAGACAAATGTCTAGGATGATCAGAACATCTGTACAGGTTTCTATCATCCATTGGCACCAGGTCTACATCCGAAAAGACAAAACAGTCGTAATCGTATTCTTTCAGTGCTTCAACAAATCCGATGTTCATGAGCTTGGCCCGGTTGAACACTCCGTCTCCGTCCTGGTTGATGACGTACACACCGTAGTCCAGCTGCTGACGCATCAGGACCGGATGGACGTAGTAGAGCCAGTGGGCCAGGTGTTCATGCCGGTTTCTGAACGGGACGATGACCGCCACCTAGAGGAGGGATGTAAAACAAAATACTGAATCTGTGCAGAATTATCTGAGTTATAAACCCAAATGCAATGACAGGATTTAAATAAGAAGCTGGTTCTGCTGTGACACAGAAGGTTCTTTCAACATCTCGAATATTATTAAAATGTTTACCAAGATTTTGCTGCTGAAGTTTTATTTAAATTCATAACTATATAACATTTGTATACTTCTATGTAAAACATGAAGTTATAATTTAGAAGACTTCCAGCTGCTTCCGTTCACTAGCTTGTGGTTGTTAAAGTCCAGTCTGTGCAGGACGGTGTGTTGGGTTTCAGTTCAAATCAAATGATGGTTCATTTATTAGCAGAACTTTATAACACCGTTTGAATCAGCTGTTCTGGAGCAGAGACATTAAAACCAGCCGGTCCAGACCGTTCGGGTCTGGAGGTTCTGCTGGGTTCTGCTGATCACCTGACTGTTTCATCCAGGTGAGCTGAAAAAACGACTTAGACTCCCTGTGTGAAATGAATGGCTCTTTTAAGAGAAATCTAAAACTCAACACATAATAAAAGTATAGTTAAATAACATGTAGACCTGAATGTACTGAAACTAAAAGCATAAAATCACTTTATATTTTTGTATTTCACCTGAACTGTTTTGTAGGAACATAAACGTTTTACTTCATCCTTGAACCTTTGAACATTACATATTTTTATGTATGTCAAAATGTTTGTTTTCTCCAATAAATAAATCAGTAAGAAGGGATGAAACAGTGACCCCTGGCGGCCGAACATGGCTCTACAACAATCTGTTCATTTCTCACTTTTTTTGGTCAAATTTGAATCTTTCTAAACATCTGAGTTTATTTGTGTTTCGGAGGAAACATTTTCTTTAATCTACAGAAATTTATATCTCTAAAGTCTCAGAACATTCTAGTTCATCAGTCTGCAGACATTCTGACTTTAATATCAAAAGAAATCAAACTTTTTCCCTGTTGATATAAAATTTCGCATTTTTAAAAAAAATATTTATTGATTTTTTTAAAAAATGTTTTATGTTCAGTGGATCAAAACTTTAATATTTCATGAACTTCCTGCATTTTTAACCAAGCAGTTTTACTTCACCAACCTTTTGTTTCGCCCTGCAGCTGGTCGGTCGGTACCGGCCTCCCTGCTGAAGGTCCGGGCCGACGTGGTTCCGGACGTCCTGCAGGGTCCGCTTGGTTCTGAACTCCACATGTAGAATTCCCTGCAGGCCCGGAGGGACGTCGGGGCACGGATCCAAAGTCCTCCCCGAACTTCCTGTGGGGTTTGGTGGGACTGTCGGATCTGCAGGTTCTTCTGGGTTCGCGGTTCTGTTGAATGCTATGATAAAAATGAATGTTCTGTTCTCGGAGTAAAACAGAAACAGAGCAAAGCAGGCCAGGCTGAAGACAGCGAGAAACACCAACACGTAAAAAAACGTTTTCAGCATTTTAATTCAGCTTGTCTTGTTCTGCAGGTGATGCAGACGCTGCGGATTCTTCAGCTTTTGCTTTATTTCCTGCTCCGGTTCCTCTTTAGATGTTCTTATCAGACATTGAGCTTCAGGTAGGCTACTTTAACCCAGGTGTGATGATGAAATGGATGAGTCGGAAGATCTACGTCAGAGGAAAAGCATCAATGTTCAAACTGAATCTCCTGGTTTCTCTCCGCGTCTTTTCACCCCTCAGGAAAACGTTGCTGGTGTGGCAACGCGAGTCTGTGACTCTATGACTCTGTTTTTTTCACAGCAGGTGACCAGCAGGTGTCAACTCCACCTTGCGCCCAAGGAACTGGGTCAGGAAGGCACTTAAGGTTCGTAACCAATGAGAACAAAGCTTCATTCCACCACAAAATAGTTAATTTTATTGATCCATGTTTTTTTTAATAAGTATATTTATTGGTTTTCAATGTTTTTGACAAATGAACAAATACAAAAACAAAAGAACAATCCAGTTCTTATAGTTACATACAAAAAGAGGAAAGAAAAAGGAAAAACAACAGTAATAATAGCAGTGTAATACAAATGGTCCACACCAAAGCATTTCAGATGTTTGCAATTCAGTCCCCCTCAAATTACAAATCCTCTCCAAAAAAATGCAGATTTCAAATCCTACATAGGAAATAAAAGGTTCCCAAACTTTATGAAAGTTGTCTTCTTTATGGAGCAGTTTGCTCGTTAAGTAATATTTAGCCATTGTGATTTACTTGGTGCTTTTGTAGCGGTGGAACAATCAGACGAGCTTCAGAGATTGATTCCGCAACATTTTAATTTAATATTTGGTACAAAGTAACTCCGTTAGTGGTATCGCTACACAGCCGTTAGAAAACAAGAGACACAGCACAACCGTTCCAGCCGCTGTCTCCTGGCCACGGCGGAGGGATATTCACCCCCCTCTGCAAACACGTCGAACTGCGACACAATAAAACCCAAAACAGTATTAATTTACAACTATTCCATGAAAATGGCTTGTGCGCCACACTTTGTCAGAAATCCAGTTCAGTATCACACATTTTCTAGCCCAAAAAGTAAGCATTCTGTAAAGTTGACGCTGATATTTACCAATAATCCCGGTGTCAGTTAAACCAAGTAGAAAATACAATGGATTGAATTGTGTGCAAACAGAGAAAATCTTATCTAATTCACATTTTATTATATACCCAAAAATGTTGAATTTTCCTACAGGACCAGTAACAATGTGTAAGACTACACTGTAACAAATTGCTGTAAAAAACGGCCAAAACTGAACAGTATCAAACTGTTTCTATTGAAAACGGCACTGCACCGTGAAAAACAATGCATTCTGGGCAATTATTACTGTTTTTAATAAAATACTGTAGTATACTGAGAGTAGCATTGCATTTTGGGAATGATGTTAGATTCAACGGTAAGGAGGCTCTTTAAACAGAACGCTACTGTATTTCTGAAGAAGACATGTTGTTGTGACATGTGGAAGCAACCTCTAGAACTTTCTTTAAGGACTATCCATTTGAATCCTGCATTTTATGAGCCACTCCTAAGGTAAGTTATTTTTGATGATTCATATTTAGAAATATTGACATGTTTGGAAGCTCTTTCTCTTTCTTTTGTGTAATTTGACTTGAATTGCTATGATTAGCTGCTAAAGTGAAATTGGTGAATGGATATCAACTGGGAATTTGGAGTTTCACAGAGTTGACTTGGCAGAAAACTGTTTAAATGTTATGCTGGTGTCTCTTTATTAACTCTTAACATTCAGTAGTTTGTCTTCACCTAGCACACATTAAACCCTGACTCCTTAAGCATCATATGCTAATCTGAAATTACTGCATTTTCAGGCTTTCTTGATCTCAACCCTGTGGGACCAAGGCCAGCTGTAGCAAGATCATCTCCAAGAGGACAGGGAAAACTTTTCAAAAGAAGTCGGTCACTGTCATCCCCCGTGTTTCAACTCTGCTGAAAAACCTCATGAACTTTGAGTGGAATTTCATAGTGAGAACTTTCTAACCAAGCTATAGATATTGTTGCCCCTCCACGCAAAAACAAGCAAACAAAAACTCTACAGGCATGAAGGCAACTTATCCCTGAACAGGAGTGTTCTTGAGAGATTTTTGGTTTAAAGGTCAGCATAATCTTAAGACATCTCTTTTAATTAAGAGCATAAATTTTGTTAAGTGTCCCACTTTCTGTTCTTCAGATGTAATTTTGACTGTACAGGCACCATGTTTTACTTATCTTGTCTAATATTGTTTCATTGTTTTATATTTTGAAGTTGGAGCTCTGATTTTGCCCTAAAGGAAATTCAAGTCTAAATGTTTAATTTAAATTATCAAACTAAAATTTGCATTTTTTTCTATGCTTTAGATTGAAAGTTAAATGTTTATGTTGCATCATATTGTTCCTCACTTCCACAAAAAGTCATATTTTGTATTGAAAAAGTATTGTGCTGAATTGTACAATGCATTATTTCCATAATTTATTTCATACTTATTTTATTTCAGACTAATCAAAAGGCCACAATTCATGCTTTATTCAAATACTCTTTACATCAGTTAAGAAATTTATTTCACAAAATAGATGGTAATTTTCTTACTGTTTTTCCAGAATCTGACTTACTTTGGACAGTTTACCCTCAACATTCTTGTAGAAAAGGTTTAGGTTTAAGGCACACATACGTTGTCATTTCAAAACCTTCGTCTTTATTATGTGGCCCACTAAAGACTGTGTGAGTCGATGTTTGAGTTGGTTCTTTTTTTTTCAAATAAATGTTTGACATGATGGAACTTACATTTTCTAAGTGGTTTTTTTTTTCATGTTTCTATTTTATATTGGAAATTTACAGTAGTAAGCTGTATGTGAATTCAACAGTAATGTAACCATAGAAAAACTGTAATATACTGGCAACACAGCTGCCAGTAGTCTACTGTGAATCTGATAAAAAACAACAATGTGCTGTAATCAAAAGATTTCTTTTGTGACAGTAATATACTGTAAAGTTGATTACAGTAAGGGTACTGTATAATTAACAGTAAAATGCTGGCAACCCTGCTGCCAGCATTATACTGTAAAAATACAGGGCAGTTTTACATTTTAAAAAAGTCTCTGTTTTACATTTTAGACACAATGGCGAGAGGCTAGCACTGAACTTACTTCGTTGAGAAGGAGAGATGTGCACCCAGTGTAAAATTGTCAATTGAATGGCCTTAACCCGATTACAAATACTTAGAGACTTTGCATTCTTCCAAGCCTCATCCCATCCCTCCGGATTTATTTCCCACTGTAATTCCCTTTCCCAAACTTCTTTAAAATGTGTTGTATTTGACAAAGGGTACTCTTTCAATAAGTTGTAAAAGGTTTTAATTGAAATTTGTACCCTAGGGGAGAATAACTGTTTTTCACACACCGAGATCGTTTGGTCTGCTTCGAGTGTGGTTTTTTTCTGTATGAAGTCTCTAATTTGTAAATAGCAAAAGAAATCCTGCCTCCCAATGTCGTATCTATCCATCAGCTGAGAGAACGATAATAACGCAGCACCTCCCATCAAGTGAAAGTGTTCGAATTCCCTTCATTGACCATGTTTTAAAGCCAGAGTCCATAGTGCCTGGTAGGAACGTAGGGTTATCACAAATAGGTGTAAGAGGTGATATAATTTGGAACCTGCCCTCCAATTTTTTAACCATTTGCCAAGCTCTCACAGTGTTAATAGTAATGGGATTACTGCAGTACTTTTTATAGTATCATTTTTCTTCAGGAATAATAAATTTTGTAAAGGAAACCTGGACATAGAGCTTTCTATATCAAGCCACAGAGAGGCAGAACCCCTTATCCAATCAGCGGCAACACGCATTTGAGCGCTGATCTGATACTTTCGTATGTCTGGGAGATCAAGGCCTCCACTTGCGGACGGGAGACGCAGTGTAGAAATTTTTAGCCGTGGTTTCCTTCCTGCCCATATGAAAGAACTTAACCACCCATTTAAAGTCTTAATCGTCTTACGGAGAAAAAGAACTGGGATCATTTGTATGGGATATAAAAGCCTGGGCAGGACATTCATTTTTAAGAGAGACACGCGGCCCAACCAGGAGAGAGGCAATGATTTCCATCTTTCAAGGTCCAGCCGGATACGTTGGAATAAGGGAGTGAAATTCACCTTAATCACCCCCTCATTGTGTCAAATGAGGGGGTGATTTTTATTCCCAAGTACGTGAATTCTTCTGGGGACCAAGTGAAAGAGAATGGGGCAGGCATAGACGGTTGATGTTTTAATAAGCCTAGTGGCATAACCTCTGATTTGTTAAAATTGATTTTATAACCCGAAAAATCCCCAAACCTGTTAATGGTCTCTATGAGAAGTGGAATAGAGCCCTCAGGCCGAGATAAAAATATGAGCACGTCGTCAGCGTATAAAGTAATCTTGTGTTGTCTCTCTCCAATGGTCAGACCGCCTATACCTCCATGGGTCCGATCCGTACACACAGTGGTGTGTTGGATTACCATATCCAGGTTTCAGATTTTCTTTCTAATCCTGGTAAAGAAATAAATGTGACTCAACATTCAAGAGTTTGTAATTTACTCTTTATGCTTTTAAATTTACCAGGAAGTTAAACTTTGTACATTAGACTTCAGGTTTTCCTGGAAAGCTGAAGGCAGACGACCAAAAGGGATTTTGGAAAAGGTTTTGATCATCAGGGACAATTGTTTGTAAAACTATTCAGGGACATTTTTACTTGAAATGGGACAAAAACATCAGAGATAAGACAGAAAAGGAAACATAAAAGGTCTAATAAATGAATTCCTCACTCTGTATTAAAGCCAGTGAGTAAAAAGAGGTGAAATCTGTCTAATATGAAGTAATAAACTAACAGGAAGTTCCTGGGTGTCGGGACCCGGGTTCTTGTTCCTTTTTGTGGTTTTCCTCTTCCTTCCTGTTTGCTTGCGGTTCCATCTTCATCCACCAGATGGCGCCAGAGGGTGCCTCCCTGGCAGGGCGTGCCTGAGGAAAGGAGGCGAGGCAGCAGAATGCAGCCGAGATGGATTTGATTTAAAACTGCAGGTCACATTTGATCAGAAACCCATTTTTCAGTGAGACAAAGAAGCTGGCTTTTATACTTTGGGCAATTCCAGCACTCATGAAGGAAAAGGGGTGACGAAACAAACGAGAAATAATTTTCATAAAACAATAAATGGTACCAACAAATATTTACATGCATGCAAATTATTAGAACTGAACTAATCTAAGGTCAATCAAAGATTAAATTTAACTTAATGTAACTCTTCATAGCGTTACCCTCTGGTATGCGCCAGCAGCTTTTTAACAGCAGCTCCTGCAGCATTCGGCTGCTGAAGAGACACACCTGAAAGGTGAGGCTCAAACAATGAACCTCAAACTGAAACAAGCTGACATTTCCCCACATGTCCAGGAAGGATGGCCATGCAGTGTTTACACCTACATGGAAACATCACTAACATGTTTGGTAAATGAGGCATCATGAAGCCTTTCGACCCAAAGCAAAGTATCAATACATTATTGATACTGTATTGATACTGTATCACTGAATACTGACACCTGCTGGACATTAACAGTCCCTACAGGCAACGTAGTTAGACTGATTTGATAAGATTTAAGCTATTGTACTTTATTGTATATCATACATTGCATTATGTCATATCTTCAGTTAAATTCTAAATATCTTGATATTTTTAGATACAGTCAATAAGTATTGTGACCATAAAGGGAAAATTTAAGTGAACGTGTTTGGAATGAGGATGCTTGTGGACTGGTGGGTTTTTTCTCACAGATTTTCATTCAAAAAGTTTTTCCAATATTTTGAAATGTAGTTTGTTACGCTTTTTTGACACAACTTCTCCTGTTGCAGAAAAAAATGAAAAAACAGGAACCAAACAGTTAATGTACTTAAAGAAAAATTTAGAGTTTTGATCAGTAGGATTTTTATGGGCTGCTAAAGGTGCAAAACGTCTCAACATGGTCTTCTGCATAAAGTCCTGAATGCCTCAACATTTCTGATCGTCTCCACATAACCTGATGTCTTTCACTTTAGAAAAAAGCTGGACTATTTAACAAAACACAAAAGCAAAATGTCTTTCTGCTCATGCAGAGTAGAACCTGTTGCCATAAAACAACAGCAGACCAAATTCACTGAGAAACTGTTGAATATAAACAGGAAGTTTATGTCCCTGATGACATCATGTGAAATCTTTTGGTCAAAAATACTAAATATGTGATAAAGAAAAAAATGTCAGCAGTGACAGAAACAGATATTTGATGGTTTTCTACTTTAGGAGAAATTAAAACTATACATTAACTGAAACTAAATATTCCAGCAGTTTCGTTTATGCTGTAAAACATCTGGTGATATTTTCTTGTCACTGTTCTTCAGCAGCCCACTTTGAACTGAAACTGAAAATACCAGTCAATTGATCAATCAATTTGATCTGTATCACACAACCAGTCCGATGAAGAAAAAAAGACAAATCACTGCTGCAGAATTGTCCGTGACATGTCTGTGTCCTGTGCTACTCCCTTTAGCTTTCTAGCTACCTGCGTCCTGTGCTAGTCCCTTTAGCTTTCTAGCTACCTACGTCCTGTGCTAGTCCCTTTAGCTTTCTAGCTACCTGCGTCCTGTGCTACTCCCTTTAGCTTTCTAGCTACCTGCGTCCTGTGCTACTCCCTTTAGCTTTCTAGATACCTGCGTCCTGTGCTAGTCCCTTTAGCTTTCTGGCTACCTGTGTCCTGTGCTAGTCCCTTTAGCTTTCTAGCTACCTGTGTCCTGTGCTAGTCCCTTTAGCTTTCTAGATACATGTGTCCTGTGCTAGTCCCTTTAGCTTTCTGGCTACCTGTGTCCTGTGCTAGTCCCTTTAGCTCTCTGGCTACCTGTCCTGTGCTACTCCCTTTAGCTTTCTAGCTACCTGCGTCCTGTGCTAGTCCCTTTAGCTTTCTAGCTACCTGCGTCCTGTGCTAGTCCCTTTAGCTTTCTGGCTACCTGTGTCCTGTGCTACTCCCTTTAGCTTTCTAGCTACCTGCGTCCTGTGCTAGTCCCTTTAGCTTTCTGGCTACCTGCGTCCTGTGCTAGTCCCTTTAGCTTTCTAGCTACCTGTGTCCTGTGCTAGTCCCTTTAGCATTCTAGCTACCTGCATCCTGTGCTACTCCCTTTAGCTCTCTAGCTACCTGTGTCCTGTGCTAGTCCCTTTAGCTTTCTAGCTACCTGCGTCCTGTGCTACTCCCTTTAGCTCTCTAGCTACCTGCGTCCTGTGCTAGTCCCTTTAGCTTTCTGGCTACCTGCGTCCTGTGCTAGTCCCTTTAGCTTTCTAGCTACCTGCGTCCTGTGCTACTCCCTTTAGCTCTCTAGCTACCTGCGTCCTGTGCTAGTCCCTTTAGCTTTCTGGCTACCTGCGTCCTGTGCTAGTCCCTTTAGCTTTCTAGCTACCTGCGTCCTGTGCTAGTCCCTTTAGCTTTCTAGCTACCTGTGTCCTGTGCTAGTCCCTTTAGCTTTCTAGCTACCTGCGTCCTGTGCTACTCCCTTTAGCTCTCTAGCTACCTGCGTCCTGTGCTAGTCCCTTTAGCTTTCTAGCTACCTGCGTCCTGTGCTACTCCCTTTAGCTTTCTAGCTACCTGCGTCCTGTGCTACTCCCTTTAGCTCTCTAGCTACCTGCGTCCTGTGCTACTCCCTTTAGCTCTCTAGCTACCTGTGTCCTGTGCTAGTCCCTTTAGCTCTCTAGCTACCTGCGTCCTGTGCTAATGCGTTAATGAGTTCTTGGTTTTGCTCTTTTGTTTTTTTCCACATATAGACAGTAAATAAAAATACTTCATTATAGAACTATTACAAAGAAAGTTTCATATTTTCATAAAAAAAATTAAACCAACATTGAAAATTAAAGTTTGCAACAAGCATTTATTGAAGGTCGGGAAAAAAGCAGTTAGCATATCTGCAGACCCCACACATCCTGGACACAAACCGCCTAAACTTTTACCTTCCGGTCAGTTTCATGTTGTTTCTGATGTACAAAATAAACACATTCAGCACATGCAGTGTCACAATCTGTCCTTTAATCATACATACATTCATATACATATCATTTGTTTCATTAATTTTTTTCTCTCTAAAGTTTGTAAATGTATATTTAACGTCAGTAAGCTCTGTTAGTACAATTCTTTCTTCATGCAGAAAATCTTGACCATGAAATCTAATAGAAATGTGAAACATTTAATAATAAACTGTGAAGTACATGAAAATAAAATGAGAAAGTTTAGAAACAGAAAGAGGGGAAAGAAACCAACTTTAACAGAGAACCAGAAGTGACTTTGTGTTGCTGAAAGCAGCTTGGAGGAAGACAGGATGGTGACGACAGAGTGCAGGATGGTGACGACAGAGTGCAGGATGGTGACGACAGAGTGCAGTTCTACGCTTGTACAGCAGGTGGCAGCATTGCCGCTTTATTTGCTTTGTTATGCATCAGTAAGCGTTTGGTTTATGATGAGAAAAAAACAAGGAAGTGTTACGTAACGTCCAGGTTTTTCTCTTTAAAACTGCCAACATTCTTCTAATTATCTGATTTTTTCTTTCGGTTTTGGTTCCGAGTCATTAGTTCGGTTCCCTGTTGACATCCAGTTTCTCCATAACAAAGGAAACTTGTGTAAAACCTTCAGAAATAACGGGATCCGGAGAGGAGCCGCCCGAGCAGTGAGGAAATGTAAGCCTCAAACTTTTCTCAGTCAGAAAATATTTTTCTTGCTGCATTTATTTATCGGTGTTTATATTGACTTAACTTTCTCCAACAGTTAAATGTGTGACTAAGTTTAAGTTTAGAGAAATGTAACTCTGTCCATTGAGCTTCATTAATCATCTCTAGTTTTAAACCACAATACCTACATGATAATAATAGTAGATTTTTCTACTAATTACTGAATTATTTGAACACAGTTTGTGATTGAACCTTTAATTTATTAAATGTTTATTATAAAGCCAGGTTAATTATTTCACTATTAAACTACGTCTGAATCCTTGAGCTCTAAATTTTTAAACAATAGAGAAAAATTCAAAGAAAACTTCAAACAGGCTTAAAGGTGTTTGTGTGTGTGTTTAGGTGTGTGTGTGTGTTTGCGTGTGTGGGTGTGTGTTTGTGAATGTGTGTGTGTGTTTAGGTGTGTGTGTGTGTGTGTGTGTGTGAGTGTGTGTGTTTAGGTGTGTGTGTGTGTGTGTGTGTGGGTGTGTGTGTGTTTGTGAGTGTGTGTGTTTAGGTGTGTGTGTGTGTGTGTGTGTGTGTGTGTGTGTGTGTGTGGTGTGTGTGTGTGTGTGTGTGTGTTTAGGTGTGAGTGTGTGTGTTTAGGTGTGTGTGTGTGTGTGTGTGTGTTTGTGAGTGTGTGTGTGTGTGTGTTTAGGTGTGTGTGTGTGTGTGTGTTTGTGAGTGTGTGTTTGCGTGTGTGTTTAGGTGTGTGTGTGTGTGAGTGTGTGTGTGTTTGTGTGTGTGTTTAGGTGTGTGTGTTTGTGAGTGTGTGTGTTTAGGTGTGTGTGTGTGTTTGTGTGTGTGTGTGTGTGTGTTTAGGTGTGTGTGTGTGGTGTGTGTTTAGGTGTGTGTGTGTTTGCGTGTGTGTGTGTGTGTGTGTTTAGGTGTTTGTGAGTGTGTGTGTTTAGGTGTGTGTGTGTGTTTGTGTGTGTGTGTGTTTAGGTGTGTGTGTGGTGTGTGTGTGTGTGTGTGTGTGTGTGTGTGTGTGTGTGTTTAGGTGTGAGTGTGTGTGTTTAGGTGTGTGTGTGTGTGTGTGTTTGTGAGTGTGTGTGTTTAGGTGTGTGTGTGTGTGTGTGTGTGTGTGTGTGTGTGTGTTTAGGTGTGAGTGTGTGTGTTTAGGTGTGTGTGTGTGTGTGAGTGTGTGTGTTTAGGTGTGTGTGTGTGTGTGTGTGTGAGTGTGTGTGTGTTTAGGTGTGAGTGTGTGTTTTAGGTGTGTGTGTGTGTGTGAGTGTGTGTGTTTAGGTGTGTGTGTGTGTGTGTGTGTGTGTGTGTGTGTGTGTGTTTAGGTGTGAGTGTGTGTGTTTAGGTGTGTGTGTGTGTGTGTGTTTGTGAGTGTGTGTGTTTAGGTGTGTGTGTGTGTGTGAGTGTTTGTGAGTGTGTGTGTGTGAGTGTTTAGGTGTGTGTTTAGGTGTAAGCGTGTGTGTGTGTTTGTGAGTGTGTGTTGCGTGTGTGTTTAGGTGTGTGTGTGTGTGTGTGTGTGTGTGTGTTTAGGTGTGTGTGTGTTTGTGAGTGTGTGTGTTTAGGTGTGTGTGTGTTTGTGTGTGTGTGTGTGTGTGTTTAGGTGTGTGTGTGTGTGTGTTTAGATGTGTGTGTGTGTTTGTGTGTGTGTGTGTGTGTGTTTAGTGTGTGTGTGTTTGTGAGTGTGTGTGTTTAGGTGTGTGTGTGTGTTTGTGTGTGTGTGTGTGTGTGTTTAGGTGTGTGTGTGTGTGTGTTTAGGTGTGTGTGTGTGTGTTTGGGTGTGTGTGTGTGTGTGTGTTTAGGTGTTTGTGAGTGTGTGTGTTTAGGTGTGTGTGTGTGTTTGTGAGTGTGTGTGTTTAGGTGTGTGTGTGTGTTTGTGAGTGTGTGTGTTTAGGTGTGTGTGTGTGTTTGTGAGTGTGTGTGTTTAGGTGTGTGTGTGTTTGTGAGTGTGTGTGTTTAGGTGTGTGTGTGTGTTTGTGTGTGTGTGTGTGTGTGTGTGTGTGTGTGTGTGTTTGCTTCTATATTTACAGTGAGTTTGAATCGTCAGATTATACAGATACTTTCTATCATCACTTATCGGTGGATGTTTCAGAAACAGTCCATGTTCTGAAGTTTTGATTGTTTTTTCCTTAAAAAATAAAATTCAGACAAGATAGTTTAAAATCAAACAGACTTGACACTCTTTGCCACTTTTGTTCATTATTACTGATTCACCATCAGAACTGCTACCAAAATAAACCTTTGTTTATTGTCCTTTATTATTGGAGGTAATCAGTTTCTAATAGTGCTGACATATTTAAGGCGAGTACATTAATTTCTCTTTTTGAATTCACATGTTCCAGGATCTTATGAATATTAACAGGAAGAACAAGAAAGAAGAATTGATGTCCCCAATAATTTCACAGCTGTGACTCCAACCAGAAGGCCTCTCACCAATCATTCCTCTGAGGAGGAAACAAGCAGCTCAATGGATCTGAGTGCTTCTCCTTCCTTTTCAAGCGAGCAGCTGAAAAAAGTACAAATCAGCACAATTGATAGAATATCAGTAGCAAAAGTTACTCCTGATGGTGCTAAACTTCATTCTTCTGCTGTTTTCCAGACAAAGGATGATGAAGGCCAGAGCCAGTCACCAAGTTTCTCCAGTGGCTTCAGTTTGAATCGTGTCGTCAATCAACAGCTAAAGAAAACCGACAAAGACAAACGACGAGAAAATGTAGAAAAGCTTCAAGATCTATATGAAGTAGATGAAATACAAAGACATCCCAGAAAATTACCAAGATCAAAAATAAGCAGATATAAATCAATTCCTTCTGCAATCAAAGATTCTACAGATTTACCAACAAGTGGAAGAAAAACCAAAAAACCTCGTCTCAGGAAGAAACTTGTAAAAGCCTTGGAGCAGACAGAAGATCTTGCAGCTGATGAGGATCAACTTAAACAAACTGAAGAACCTGACCAATTTGCAGGCCCACAGATACCTTTACCTGACCAACAGCCTCTCACCAATCATTCCTCTGAGGAGGACAAGCAGCTGCAGCGCCACCAGCAGGGGAGCTCGTTTAAGATATAAGAATGTTTCTCCTTCATGGTCCAACTCAGAGCGACTCCGTCCCAAACAGATCAGCCTCTACTGACCTTCTCCTCCCTTCAGCATCTGGTTTGAGAAGAAGAGACCGCAGCAACTCGTCTCCTTCTCTGATTCATCAGGATCCTCCTCTAGACGTCAGTAGACCAGATGCTAACCCAATGTTATACCGAAAAACTGCCAGGAGAAGGAGACTTTGTTTTCAAAGTTTCAAGAAAGACCAGATCATCTGTATGGATCTGGATCTGCTGATCACATAGCAAAGATGTCATCTGAACGGTTAAGGTTAAGAATATGTCCACCTCGAGCTCCACTTCCAGGCTCAATACTTCAAAGTGAACTGAGGAAATAACAGAAACCAATAAGGGAACACCAAGACAGCCTGAAACCGAGTCAGTCGGGTCTGTTTCTTCAACAAATAGAGAAGAAGGAGGCAGTAGTTCATATTCTTCCCAGTCTCCCTTTGAGACTGGGAACTTTGTCTGGCCTACTTCTTTATTTTGTCCTTTGGATTTTTCAATGCGCAGCCTCAACTCTTCGCTCACAGATACTTCCTCTGCTGAAACCAAGAACCAAGGAAGGTTTTGTTCATTAACTAAAGTATCTGCATCAGGAGCTGCACAAACCCTCCCACCCCTCCCAACCCTACGACCCCCCGCCCCTGCTCTCTCTTTACCCCCCAACGTATCGTCACCAACTGTAACCTCTGCATCCACTGCAGATACGTCTTCAGCGAACCTCGACTTCTCTCTTTCTCATCAAGATGAATCACACAGTCTGTATGTGGGACATTACGGACAGATACCTTGGGCTTCTTATATCCCCGCCTTCGTTCCACAGAGTGAGAACGTTTCCACAGAAAGGCCTCCAGAACCTTTTGACCTGCTAGAACCGCCGTGCTTAAAATACAGCAGACAAGATACAGCAGGAAACCAAGATGAAATAATGGAGTCGGTTGGACATGTGAGCGACTCCATCCCAAACAGATCAGCCTCTACTGATCTTCTCCTCCCTTCAGCATCTGGTTTGAGAAGAAGAAACCGCAGCAACTCGTCTCCTTCTCTGATTCATCGGGATCCTACTTTAGACGTCAGTAGACCAGATGCTAACCCATCGTTATACGGAAAAACTGCCAGGAGAAGGAGACTTTGTTTTTCAATGTTTCAAGAAAGACCAGATCATCTGTATGGATCTGGATTTGCTGATCACATAGCAAAGATGTCATCTGAATGGTTAAGGTTAAGAATATGTCCACCTCGAGCTCCACTTCCAGGCTCAATACTTCAAAGTGAAACTGAGGAAATAACAGAAACCAATAAGGGAACACCAAGACAGCCTGAAACCGAGTCAGTCGGGTCTGTTTCTTCAACAAATAGAGAAGAAGGAGGCAGTAGTTTATATTCTTCCCAGTCTCCCTATGAGACTGGGAACTTTGTCAGGCCTGCTTCTTTTTTTCAGCTCCCAACTTCTCCGTTTTATCCTTTGGATTTTTCAATGCGCAGCCTCAACTCTTCGCTCACAGATACTTCCTCTACTGAAACCAAGAACCAAGGAAGGTTTTGTTCATTAACTGAAGTATTAACTAAAGTATCTGCATCAGAAGCTGCAGGAACCCTCCCAATCTTCCTAGCCCTCTCTTTACCCCCCAACGTATCGTCACCAACTGTAACCTCTGCATCCACTGCAGATACGTCTTCAGCGAACCTCGACTTCTCTCTTTCTCATCAAGATGAATCACACAGTCAGTATGTGGGACCTTTCAGTCAATCTGGGGCTTCTTATATCCCCGCCTTTGTTCCACAGAGTGAGAACGTTTCCACAGAAAGGCCTCCAGAACCTTTTGACCTGCTAGAACCGCCGTGCTTAAAATACAGCAGACAAGATACAGCAGGAAACCAAGATGAAATAATGGAGTCGGTTGGACATGTGAGCGACTCCGTCCCAAACAGATCAGCCTCTGCTGACCTTCTCCTCCCTTCAGCATCTGGTTTGAGAAGAAGAGACCGCAGCAACTCGTCTCCTTCTGTCCTCTGTCCTCTGATTCATCAGGATCCTCCTCCAGACGTCAGTATCTTACCCCGAGCTGCTAGTTTACCCAGCATGAAGCTCCAAAGCAGCTTTGAGGAGTTTACTCCTGGTTTCTGTGGAGATCCAGATGATGAAACCTACCGGTTCCAGTGCTCCGGTCCAGGCCTGTACCAGTGCAGAGTGAGCGGCCTGGTGTTTGCCATGAAGGGAGGAGGAGACGTGTTTTACAGGGTTGTTCCCTGGAACAGGACATTACTGAGCCCACATGGCAAGAAGCCTGCAGGACCTCTGTTTGACATCAGCTGCCTGCAGCAGTCTGTGGCTCAGCTTCATCTCCCTCACTGTGAGGTCCGCTCCACTGGACCATGTCACTTCCTGTCAGTCGCTCATCTCCATGACGGAGGCGTGGAGTTCATCAGGCCTGAGAGGATCACAGAGACTCACATCATCATCAGCATCTCAGGGTTTTCTGCTTTTGGGAACGTCAAGGATGAGGATTCTCCTGCTGACCCGGTCCGAGCCTTGGTTCTGCTGTTCTACAGACCTGCAGCTGATCCTGAGTCAGAACACGAGATTAATGTGTTGATGCTGCCAAAGAACGTTGTTCTCAACAATGTGCTGCGTTTCAGGAGGAAATTAGACGAGAATGAAAGATTCCTGGAGACGCCTCCAGACTGCAAACTGCAGCCGAATCAGGTTTACTCTCTGTCTGTCTCTCCTGGTGGCGACTCGGTTCTGGTTCAGCCCAAAGAAGCCGAGTTTGATGCAGAATCCTATGAAAACTACGTCTCAACGTTCCAGGTGGTTTATGAGGAAACGATGAAACACATCAGACTGTCTCTGACGGACAGCAGCTCCTGCAGCGTCTGGGACAGACGGGTTTGTCTTTCTGCTGCCGGAGTCAGAAGATCCTGTGGGCCGACTCGACAGAACCGCAGTCCAAAGGAGCAACTGATGGAGATAAGGATCAACTTCAAGGATGGAGTATCAGGACCGGTTCTGCAGAGTCTGCTGGACTATCTGCTGAAGGAAAAAGTCATCAATGATTCAGAGATGGAGGAGGTGGCGGCGGAGAGAACCAGAGGAGAAAAAGCTCGACTTCTAGTCGACACGGTGAGGAGGAAAGGAGATGATGCAAGTTCAAAGATGATCCACTTCCTCTGTGAGCTCGACCAACACTTCTCTGAATATTTGGAACTGATGTGAGGAAGAATCAGGCAGAGTGTAAAAACTACTGTTGACTAGAGAGACTTAAGACAAACAGGAAGCATCACATTTTAAAGAAACTGAGCAGTAAAGGAGGATCTGCCCTTCAAAACGATAACGACTCAAAACTACAACCTTAGAATGGATGAAATCGTGTCCAGGATGTGCGGGGTCTGCAGTGATATTAACTGCCCTTTTATTTAGTTTATAAGTCGTTAAAAATGATGTTAAGAAGTAGTTATTGTTCACATAGTACACATAGAGAGTGTGAGGTTACTTATGTTGAATCAGAACCGATCATACTAAGCAAAAAGTCATTCAGAAAACCTGTGGAATGAGATTCAGACCTCAGTGGTCCAACTTGATCACACATATGGCAGCAGATCTGATTTTTGTATGGATTTAATTGCTTGTTGTGTTTTACTATAAGTCCATGCTCTTATTGGAAGACTAAAGTTATCAATTATGAATAATTTGTCAAATAAACATGTTATTTCTATATGTGAAATTAAAAAAACTGTTCCACACTTTAGATTAAAAAATATTTACTCACATTTTTATTTACTACAGATGTTATTGTTCATATGAATGGTCAACATTTCCTTAAACATACAATTATCTAAATGTTCAAATCAGTGTTTTAAACTTTAAGTCAGATATTTGTATCATGTATTTTTTTAATTATATGATGTAAACTGGCTCATTTGATAGACCATCATCTTGAGTATGATGCTATTATCCCCGTTCACATTGATGGGTCACAGTGTGTCTGCATGAATGGTTATAACTGACACATATAAAAACACACAGAAATGTTAAATAAATACTGGAATAAATAAATTCATGATTTCCTCAATATTTATTTTTAAAATTGTGAAAACATGGAAGTAATTAGAATTTCTTAATGGATGTATTTCTGATATTACTTGTATTTTTACGCCTATTTACTTTTACATTGAACTGTTTGTATTCAATGCTGACATTTAAATGTCTAAATATTCTTTGAACATAAATTAAAACAAGAAAAATATGTTGATGCGCTTGTGTTCTACCTTTACGCACTCTTAGATGAGAACATGAACGCAGCATGAAACGTCATAATGACTTAAGCCAATAGTTTTTCGAGGAGGTGTGGCTTAATGAACTGGTCGACCCTCTTCAGGCTGACAGTTTCTGAGCCTCAGTCCTCTAACATTCAGTTTAAAGCAGAGTGTTTTAGCCGGTTGTGTTGGGAACGGGACGGTTTCATGATGTTTTATCATTAACTGACTGATCTTCCTGCTGAAAGCGGCGTTGTTTCATCTGCTGAAGCTCCCAGCGGAGCTGCCAGAGGGCAGGAGGTGGTGGAGGAAGGAGAGTCGCTGCATTCAAAGCCGCCATGAGTTTTTTACAAGCAACTTGTATCTGTTGATAACAGCAATTAAACCCAAATGGGTTGAAATCCAGCAACATAACTTAGAAAATAGTAGATTGTTTGAGAAATTGTAGTTGGTTTGATTATCAAATAGCCTACCTTCAGATGAATTTATATTTTTACATTGACAAATGTGAGAACAAAGGAAACCTGCCCGCATGTCTCTGCTACAGGGCCTAGGTTTAATCTCAAACTGCTATTGGATACGATGTAGATTTCGCTGGCCTATCACAAGACACCACACTCTGAGACCCTAGCATCGGCTTCAGTGATTGGACGAAACGTTTGGCGCCTCTTGAATCTGCAGCAGTCGGAGTGGGCGGCGAGTACGAGACAGTTTGAACCTGCTCCGCGTCGAGACGGAAATATTGAAATAAACTGTTGATTTCAGGAAAGACGGAGTTAAATGACAGCAGTGTCCGTCAAAACAAGCCTCAGTGTTATCGCAAAAGGTCCACATTGAGGCGTGGGAACAGAAGCTTTTGCTGTTTAACAGCCGGTCGGTGTTGTAAAGCCGGCTGTCGCGCTTAGAGTCGCTGCCTCCTGCTGAGCTAACTGCTAACTAGCTGCGGAGCTAACGCGTCGGCTAAGCTTCCACACAAAGAGCCGCTCTCACAGTGTTCGTCGTGTTTACCCGGAATCACTGCGCTGAATGAGGCCAGAGCCTGTCGTCCAGGTGAGAGGAGCTGTCAGTGCTGGTTTTGCTTGTTTTCGCCGTATTTTCTGAGGTCCAAACCGCCCGGGTTGTTCTTGGTGCTTTGTTAACTGACCAACTGCTAGTTAGCACGCCGGGGTGTTCGAGACAAATTTGTACCCTGGTATTTATTAGTTACCCAGAAAAACGTACACATACACTGAGAGTTCAGTTAAATGTAAACATTCCGATTTAACTTGACTGTATTTAACTTCTTTAAGTTGTTCGCAAAGAGAGGAAACCGAGTTTTTAGGGTACTGAGCCCGATATCTGCACGCTAAAGCTTCCTGGTTTGTTTGGAAAGTTCACCTTGAAACTATCTGACAGTTTTGCTCAATTTATCCACCTTTCACCTCACGGGACGGTCAGACATTTCCTTTGGAGAGTTTGATTATTGCAGTCAGTTGAAGCTGAGAGAAATAAATCCTTATTTTCTTTACTTCTGATCTGTGAGGATCTGTGAGGCTGATCAACCTGTCAGCCAGAGACACACACTGGCTAGCTGACCCCAACCTTAACCCTACACTGGTACAGAACCATCATTTGTAAAGAAACGATCAAAATCCGGGTTCATAGTAATTATCATTTAGGGGAATAAGTAATAACTGTCTTTGACTCAGTTACAGATATTAATCAATGCAGGTTATTAATCACGTTGGTAAAATGAGTTTCCTAAGAAAACCCAGTTTTATGGCATCAAGTTACAGCAGTTCCTCCTGAAGACAAGTTTGATTCTGACATTTAAATTCTTCAATGTTTTAAATATTTTGAAGCTCTTTAGAGGTTAGAAACACCTTATTGAGGGTGTTTATATGTTTTTTTTATGAAATAGAAATATACTAATTATAAATTTGCAGTGAACATTTAATGTGTCATCATAAATGGTTCAGAAGTCAACTGAGGTTTTTGTTTAAATGAAAAACAGCATATCTCCAGATTGATTTATTGTTAAACATTTTAAAAGTATTTAAGTGTAACTACGTATTACTTCCTGTATGATTTCACAATGTTAGGAACCATGTAGTTGCTATAAACATTGTTAGATATTGAGATATTGATTACCTTTTCTCTCCTGCCTTCCTTGCTGTTTGGAGTTTCTGCAGATCTCTTTACTCTTGGGTGACTTTGCCTTTTTCAATCCCAACATATTTATCCCAACATAAAATTAAATCTCGTAACTCAAATACTCCAAATACTTCAGAGTCGTTAAGAGTTGTGATGCCGTGGGGAAAACGAATCTCCAGTATCGCAACAAATCAGAAGACATCATCAGAAGACAGTAACCTGTCCAGTTACTGCTAATCCACTTCCTTTACTTTAACTCTCCATCTGACCTTATTGCTATAAAGATGTTGGAGTCGGGGATGTGACCCTTTGTCATTATGAAGGACAGAAAAGATGGGTTTGAACTTCCTCCTGCTCTCTCTGCATCCATAAATCCTCATTTTCAACATCTCTGGGGTCAAAGTTCAGTTCATCAGCTGCTTACATCAGTAAAATCACGAGTCTGTGCTTGGAACATAATATGAAACAGCGACGCTTCAGATGATCTGCTGCAGAAACACGTGACAGGAAACGTCCTGAAATAAGCCGACACTTCCTGCTACACTTCTCATTAGTGCGGAGTGTCTGACGTTGGAACAAGCTGCTAAATATAAATATAAAAACTGAGAAACCTTCTGCTTTAAAGCACTGTACACACAGACTTTATATTTGTATAGTTTTAAAATTAAAATAAAATAAATGTGATGCACTTTTCAGAACCAGAATAAAAACTTATCAAGAAATAATTTTGTTAAATTAAAAAATTGTGAAATCCCATCTTTTCAGACTCTTGAATGCAGCATGGTTGATTTAAAAAAAGTTGTGAAGAGTCAACAGAAGTGGTTTTAATTCATATATTTTCTCTATATTTCAGTTTTAGACCAACTGCGGCCTAGAAAAACATGAGATGTTCGTTACCTGGTGATGGGAATCTCTGACGATCCAATCCATTTTATTTATAAAAAAAACCTAAAGAAACAAATGTTTACCCAAACTAAGTAATAAATATAAAAACATTAAAATCAGAATAAGATGCACTAAAGAAACCAATCAGCTGAAGCTCCTCTGATATGCAGATGTTAAGCATCTGTTACTGAACCGACTCGTATCTCATTCCAGCCCGACGGCCAGATGGATTCAAAGAGGAGCGGCAAAAGCAAACGAGGTGGATCAGCAGAGCTAGCTAACATCAGATTGGTTCATATGGGATATTGTCTTTACTGAGACTGATGCAGCAACAGTTCAGGTCAATCAATCAAATTTTATTTGTGAAGCATTTTTCAGCAAAAAGCATTTTACATCATATGCTTCACATCATAAAAACATAAAAATACAGAGGCCTCCTCGTGTTCGTTGCAGCACTGACTGCTGCAGGAGATCCTGCATTTCACTTGTTGAACCAAGTTAAAAGCTACAACCGCAACTTCATGAGATGTTTTTGCTTTGGGTTGTAATATGACGAGATATGGGCTGTGAAAAACACCTGTTTTTCCTCTGTTTAGTAAACGTGAAGTGTGTGTGTGTGTGTGTGTGTGTGTGTGTGTGTGTGTGTGTGTGTGTGTGTGTGTGCGCGCGCGCGCAGGGCGATCATGGTGCTGACAGGGAAGCGTTCGGACAAAGGTCCAGCCTGCTGGAAGAGGAGGGTGAAGTCTGAGTACATGAGGCTCCGGCAGCAGAAACGCTTTAGACGTGCTGATGAGGTCAAGGTGGGTTCACACTCTGACCTCTGACCTCTAGAAGCCTGAAGGCTACTGATGTTCAGAAGTAGATTTATTTTGCCTCCCCTGTTGAACTCATCTGGACCCGGGGCTCCCAGAAGGATCCAGGCAGGTTATTTATTTGTGATTATTAATA